TCATTGCCAAAAATCTCCTTATATTCTTTTGTTTTCCTTCCCTCCTCTTCCTCTCCCACAATGCCTCAGCAACCACTAATCTGCTTTCTGTCACCAAAAAGTAGCTTGAATTTCCAAGAATGTTATACAAATGGAATCACAGTGTTAATAGTCTTTTTTCTTTCACTCAGCATGATCTGCGATTCATCCAAGCGGTAGCACATATATCTATGGTCCATTCCCTTTTATTGTGAGCAGGAGGATCCCATTGTATAATATTGAGGTTGAATATCACTTGTCTAAATACCCGGATCCAGAAGTGTTTGGGTTTCCACTGAGTTTTTCAGATTTTGCAATATTTGCATATATATAATGAAATATCTTGGGGCTAGGACCCATGTCTAAACATAAAATTCATTTATGTTTCATATATAACTTATACACATAGCTGAAGGTAACTTTGTACAATATTTTAAATAATCTCATGCATGAATCAAAGGTTGTGTTAAGTACTTACGTATGGAATTTTCCACTTGTGATGTCATGTTAGTATTCAAAAAGTTTAGAGCATTTTTGATTTGGGGTTTTCAGTTTAGGGGTGCTCAGCCTGTACTACAGTTTGTTTACCCACTTTCCTATTGATGGATATTTCGGCCGTTTCCTAAATTTTCAAAAGCAGTAATCTGGAGTGCTTCAAATTAGGACGGAACTTATTAGTAGATTCCTAGAGATACTTGTTCATTCTAAAAATTAGGTGATTCATTTCTGTAATGATTCTATTTTTACAATGATCCTTACAGCATAAAACGTTTTCTTTCTTAAAGTAATAACAACAAACTTGTTTTTATTTCTCTATTAGTAACAAAGACCAAATAGTTCTAAAAAGAATCACATGTTGGGCGGTGCCTGTAGCTCAAGGAGTAGGGCACTGGCTCCATATACCAGGGGTAACAGGTTCAAGCCTGACCCAGGCCTAAACCTGCAAAAAAAAAAAAAAAAAAAAAATCACATGTTGAGCTTCTGTTTTGCAGTTTGTTCTCTCTGAAATTTATGTAAGGACTTAACTTTCAATATGGCAGTATTGAAAGGTGGGGCCTTTTAAGAGGTGCTTAGGTCACGAGGGTTCTGTCCTCGTGAAGGAGTTAATTCATTCATGGGTTAGTAGATTACTGGGTTATCATAGGAGTGGGACAGGTGGCTTTATAAGAAGAGTACAAGAGACCTGAGTTAGCACACTCAGCCCCTCACCAGGGGATGCCCCCTGGAACTCTGCAGAGACCCCACCAGCGAGAAGGCCCTCATCAGATGTGCCCCCTCAACCTGGAGCTCCCTAGCTTTCAGAACTGTAAGAAATAAATTCCTTTCCTTTCCTTTATAAATGAATTTATAAAATTTCAGGAATTCTATTATAAGCAACAGAAAATGAACTAAAACATACTTATTAGTCTCCCTTTCCATAGACTTCCAAATTGTTCTTCCAAATGACATGGTAGAGATTTGGAACCTAGAAAGGACAGAGAAGAGGAAGAGAAAGATGAGCAAGTGTGAAAAAATACTGAAAGGTGCTTTGTAGCTTTTTGAGAACAAGTGGACCTCTAAAAGATAGGGATGGCCAAGGTGTTCCAGTGGGAAGATTTTAATCAGTCGCCCAGCGAGCATTTATTGAATGTTTCTTATGGTTCCTACATTGCCCTAAAAAACTGGGGGAGATTTACATTAGTAAATGACATAATCCCTTTCCTCTTGAAACTTTATATGTCTGTTTAGTGTGTTAAACTATTTTAAATTACACACGAACTTTATTTTCTCTCTCTCTCTCTATATGTATATATACACATACAGTGATAAGACTAAAACACTAGACATCTTACCAATTGGTTCTAAATAATAAATTGCTAACTTGATGTGTTACAGTTATTGGAACATGTCAGGTGGGGAAGGAAGTGCTGGTGTTGGACCAGAAGCCTGGAGTTCTAATCATAAGTGATTGGAGGGGGGTGTGTGTGTGTCATTTAGCCTCTCTTGAGTTTGCAGATTCCTCACTCTGAACATTTCTCCTCTTCCTGCTTTATAAGACTGTTGTGAGAATAAAACAAGGTAAGGTATGTGAGAGTGACCATGAAAACTTTAGGGCACTATACAAATTTAAGAAATTCTTTCTGAGGACAGGAAGAAATTGGGGAGGACTAAAGTGATTGGAGAAAGTGTTATGAACAAATGGACACCTGAGGTTTAATGTTGAAGGACAGAGATTAAACAGACCAAAGACACAGAAATGAGAGCTGGAGAGGAGAAAAGTAAGCCTTACACAAAGCCTGTAAGGTACAAAAGGGGAAACTGAGGCTCAGAGAGATTAAGTAAATTGCCCAAGAGCAGAAAACTAGAGCGTGTCGAGGCGGGATATGAGTTCAGGACTGTCTTATCCTAAAGCATTATGCTATATTGCTGGGTAGAAAACAGAGACAAGAGAAAATCGACAGTGTCCTTTGTGTATGGCTCAGTGCAGAGGCAAAATCAATGAGAACCAGAGGGCATATTGTAAATGATGGGAAAGAAAACTGATTAGGTTCGGGGAGGATGCATGCGGAGATTACTTGTACTTTTAACTCATTTTCCAAACTCAAATGCATTTTTATCATTTACCCTCACAATTACTCTTTTTTTTTTTTTTTTGAGACAGAGCCTCAAGCTGTCCCCCTGGGTAAAGGGCCGTGGCATTACAGCTCACAGCAACCTCCAACTCCTGGGCTCAAGCGAGTCTCCTGCCTCCGCCTCCCAAGTAGCTGGGACCACAGGCGCC